ACAGGACGACAGCAACGGACGGCAGAGGGCGGTGCGGCCAAGAAAGGTAGCAGAAGCCATGGCCAAGGGCAAGATTTTCCAATACGTGTGCCCGCATTGCAAGCAGTCTGTAAGCAGTACCTTACGAACAGGCCAAGTCAATCACCGCCGCACATGCGGTAACTTTTTCCGAGTCAGGGAAGGACGCCCCTGTGCGAAACAGTATGACTACGTTTGTCCCACCTGCAATGGGCATGTGGCCAGTAACGTGGCAACAGGGCCAATAGACCATCGAGCAGTCTGTGGGCACCAATTTTCTGTTCAGGATGGCGTTGTGAAAGAGAAAGGCGTAGTTTACAGGTGTCCATTTTGCAAAAGAAATGTGAGAAGCGATGTCAGGACAGGGCAAATAAACCATCGAACAGTCTGTGGGAACCAATTTTCTGTTCAGGATGGCGTTGTGAAAGAGAAAGGCATCGTTTACAGGTGTCCATTTTGCAGAGAAAGTGTGAGAAGCGATATCAGGACAGGGCGAATCAACCATCGAACAGTCTGTGGGAACCAATTTTATGTGAAGGACGGTGCGGGCAGCAAGACAACACGGTGTCATGCGCACAGTTGCCCGGTGTGCTCAACGGTTGTTTGGTCATCGCAGTCATGTGGGCGCATTGCGGTGACGCATGTCACGCCGTCGGGAAAACGATGCGAGATGAAACATTGGCACGTTCCCGACAAAAAGTCAAAGAAAAAAAGGAAATGAAATAGAAAGACGCTGCGCTAGCCGTAGGAACAGATGGCACTGGCAAAACCCCTGCCGCGAAGCATTTGAGAGGTGTGAAAGCTGGCAAACGGAAGGGATGTGCGCGGGAACAACAGACGCGATGGAAGCAAACGGCGGGCGTCAACAGTCCCCCAACAAATGCCTGCGGCCAGAGTCTCTGGTGAAAGCTGCTGCCAAGGATTTTGAAAGTTTTGACGATTGGAAGGCTGGCTGCAACGCTGGAACAGCAAAGGCTTACCGCCACACGGTTTGGTGGAAGCTGCCGGGAGGGAGTAAGGGATTGAACGCTGGCAAACGGCAGGCTTGAACGCCCTAACAACAGAGGCTATGTGCAGGCAAACGGCAGGCTGCAACGCTGGAACAGCAGGGGCTGACGGCCACAGGGCTTGGTGCAACCGGCCGGCGGAGCATATTAAGCGTTTTAAAGTTTGAAGCTGGCAAACGGCAGGCTTGAATGCCCTAACAACAAAGGCTATGTGCAGGCAAACGGCAGGCTGCAACGCTGGAACAACAGAGGCTATGTGCAGGCAAACTGCAGGCTGCGACGCTGGAACAGCAGGGGCTCACGGCCACAGGGCTTGGTGCAACCGGCCGGCGGAGCATTTTAAGCGTTATAAGGGTTTGAAGGCTGGCAAACGGCAGGCTGGAACGCCCTAACAACAGGGGCTATGTACAGGCAAACGGCAGGCTGCAACGCTGGAACAGCAGGGGCTCACGGCCACAGGGCTTGGTGCAACCGGCCGGCGAAGCATTTTAAGCGTTATAAGGGTTTGAAGGCTGGCAAACGGCAGGCTGGAACGCCTTAACAACAGAGGCTATGTACAGGCAAACGGCAGGCTGCAACGCTGGAACAGCAGGGGCTCACGGCCACAGGGCTTGGTGCAACCGGCCGGCGAAACATTTTAAGCGTTTGAAGGGTTTGAAGGCTGGCAAACGGCAGGCTTGAACGCCCTAAGAACAGAGGCTATGTGGAGGCAAACGGCAGGCTGCCACGCTGGAACAGCAAGGGCTCACGGCCACAGGGCTTGGTGCAACCGGCCGGCGGAGCATTTTAAGCATTTTAAGGGTTTGAAGCCTGGCAAACGGCAGGCTTGAACGCCCTAACAACAGAGGCGGCCACAGGGCTTGGTGCAACCGGCCGGCGGAACATTTTAAGCATTGTAAGGGTTTGAAGGCTGGCAAACGGCAGGCTTGAACGCCCTAACAACAGAGGCTATGTGCACGCAAACGGCAGGGGCCACAGGGCTTGGTGCAACCGGCCGGCGCATCATTTTAAGCATTTTAAGGGTTTGAAGCCTGGCAAACGGCAGGCTTGAACGCCCTAACAACAGAGGCTATGTGCAGGCAAACGGCAGGCTGCAACGCTGGAACAGCAGGGGCTCACGGCCACAGGCCTTGGTGCAACCGGCCGGCGGAGCATTTTAAGCGTTATAAGGGTTTGAAGGCTGGCAAACGGCAGGCTTGAACGCCCTAACAACAGAGGCTATGTGCAGGCAAACGAGAGGCTGCAATGCTGGAACAGCAGGGGCTCACGGCCACAGGGCTGGTGCAACCGGCCGGCGGAGCATTTTAAGCATTTGAAGGGTTTGAAGGCTGGCAAACGGCAGGCTTGAACGCCCTAACAACAGAGGCTATGTGCAGGCAAACGGCAGGCTGCCACGCTGGAGCAGCAAGGGCTCACGGCCACAGGGCTTGGTGCAACCGGCCGGCGGAGCATTTTAAGCATTGTAAGGGTTTGAAGCCTGGCAAACGGCAGGCTTGAACGCCCTAACAACAGAGGCGGCCACAGGGCTTGGTGCAACCGGCCGGCGGAACATTTTAAGCATTGTAAGGGTTTGAAGGCTGGCAAACGGCAGGCTTGAACGCCCTAACAACAGAGGCTATGTGCACGCAAACGGCAGGGGCCACAGGGCTTGGTGCAACCGGCCGGCGCATCATTTTAAGCATTTTAAGGGTTTGAAGCCTGGCAAACGGCAGGCTTGAACGCCCTAACAACAGAGGCTATGTGCAGGCAAACGAGAGGCTGCAATGCTGGAACAGCAGGGGCTCACGGCCACAGGGCTGGTGCAACCGGCCGGCGGAGCATTTTAAGCATTTGAAGGGTTTGAAGGCTGGCAAACGGCAGGCTTGAACGCCCTAACAACAGAGGCTATGTGCAGGCAAACGGCAGGGGGGACAGCGGGCTTGGGTTGCAACCGTGCCGGCGACATTTTAAGCATTTTAAGGGTTGAAGCTGGCAAACGGCAGGCTGAACGCCTAACAACAGAGGCTAGGTGCGGGCAAACGAGCTGCAATGGCTGGAACAGCAGGGGCTCACGGCCACAGGGCTGGTGCAACCGGCGGAGGAGCCTTTAAGCATTTGAAGGGTTTGAAGGCTGGCAAACGGCAGGCGGCCCTAACACAGGGCTATGTGCAGGCAAACGGCAGGCTGCCACGCTTGGAACAGCAAGGGCTCACGCCACAGGGCTTGGTGCAACCGGCCGGCGGAGCATTTTAAGCATTTTAAGGGTTTGAAGCCTGGCAAACGGCAGGCTTGAACGCCGTAACAACAGAGGCGGCCACAGGGCTTGGTGCAACCGGCCGGCGGAACATTTTAAGCATTGTAAGGGTTTGAAGGCTGGCAAACGGCAGGCTTGAACGCCCTAACAACAGAGGCTATGTGCACGCAAACGGCAGGGGCCACAGGGCTTGGTGCAACCGGCCGGCGGAGCATTTTAAGCATTTTAAGGGTTTGAAGCCTGGCAAACGGCAGGCTTGAACGCCCTAAGAACAGAGTCTATGTGCAGGCAAACGGCAGGCTGCAACGCTGGAACGGCAGGGGCTCGCGGCCACGGGAGCTATGCAGGCGAGGCTTACGGCACAGGCCTGGGTGGAAGCCTTGGACAATGTCAAGGCCAAACGGCCACAGGCCTGGGTGGAAGCCTTGGACAATGTGAAGGCCATGGCCGTGACAAAGCAGGTTCCACACCTCCGGTGGTCCCAGGCGCCGCCCCTGCCTTGGCGAAGGCCGGGGTCGGCGGATTATAGTGTTAGGATATCCGTACTATAGACAATGTATAGTTGGCTTCCTGGGGTCTCTGCAAGTGTCTAGAGACTTTTTTAGACCCTTGGACCCAAAAAAGGATTAGAACAGTTGGTGCTCCTGGAAATTTATGGGGAAAACATCATCCATACCATCCTCGAAAATATGTTTCTATCCTTTCGGGGCTTGCTATAGTCACATCTTCCACTGGGATGGATTACGAAGATGGTGTAGGCGAACAAACTGTGGAAGTTGGTCCCAAATGGCGCATCCCTGAGAGCCAACCTGAATTTTTCAGACGCGCCTATTTTAGATTGACATCTTTGAGAGCAAATTCTCTCCCGGCAATCCAACCCTGGTTGGTTGGGAAATCCATGGTACCAGAGGGTACCCAATTTTAGACCAGCGTGCAGTTCCGGCCCGGCTACAAAAAAAAGGTGAGCCTTTGTTGCCATAGCTACAGGGAATATCTTTAACCTTAGGTGAAGCCATTATGGTTCTACCCATAACCATGACCCAACTGCAGCCCCAAGTATCATGAATTTCCCTCTTTAAATGCCATATGTATTACATACATACATATATATATATATATATATATATTAGGGTATACATCAATTTCTCAGAAAACCAAATGAAGGAAATTCCCCTTTCTGGTGTGATGCCCCAGCTGGTAGGTCTGGTACTATCCTCACAGGGCAGACCTCCAACGTTGCGACTAAGGCACGGCCAGACTCCGCCGGCTTCACCTTGCCATCAGCACGGGCCTTGCAGCCACCACCACAGGAGCTGAATTTGGAGCGGCCCGATCCCCTAAAACTTCGATGTGGCGAGTGGCAATGTCTTCGTTGTTCCCAAGCAGTTCGTAAAGGATCATAAAAGATACCCTCTGGTAATTTAACATAACTATGGAAAATCAGCATTTATAGTGAATTTTCCCATAAAAAAATGTGATTTTTCATAGTTATGTTAGTTTACCAGAGGGTACCCCTCAGCAATTTAGTTCGATGATTTTCCCATTTAAAAGCCAATTTACGGGGATTTCCCTGCGAGCTTTGATTGCCGGAGGGTATCAGTATCAGACAAAAATGGTATACGAGTCACTAGCCCAAACTAATCTTTCCCATACAAACTGGAAAAGAGGGAAACAACTATACTTCAAAGTTCCCAACCATTTTATGTGAATAATGATAGATCTGATAGATAATACTATAATAGGGATGGGCGAAGACGAATTATGATAGTATTTGGACCCTCAGCCAGGACGCAATGATCCTTCCCTGCTATCCGCCCCTGTTCCAAGCTCTGCAAGAGCCCCTTGGCAAATCTTAGCAACAGGGGAAGAGTTCAGCAGCAAACATAGGGATTTAATTAACAATCATGGGGAATTAAGGTAACCAACTGACAACAAGTGGGATTTGACTAACATCAACTGAGATCTTGTATGATCACATATGATATAACCTGTGTTTCAACAAAAAAGCCATTCCATCCCTCTGGGATCCCCAACGGTTTTCCGATGTTTTTCGACAGATTCAGGTGCCTTTTAGACAGTCGAGCAGACGACACTGAAGAAGACTACTTGGTGGCAGCGTGCACATCTGCTTGGCACAAGCACGCTTTCTTTGAGCTATCTCACTGTGTGGTCAAATCAGGTGCCTTTTTCGAAACGCTTGGGGAAAGCCTGGGAAACGCTTGGTGATGGGCCGGTGGGCGTGTGACCCATTAAGGTGAATCACTGGAACCCGGAGGGATCCACTGGGATCAGCTGGGCACGTGATGGACGCAAGTGGTCTGAGGGAAGCTTTGCACTAGAAATGTGTGCGATGAAACATGCTCATATGATCGAAAACATAGGATACAATAGCTATGGATGAACATCGATTAAAGAAAACCCAGCTATTTCGGAGTTCCAGGGCATTCCATGGGAGCCAGGTCTCATGGGAAGCTACTGCAAATACCTGGCACAGCGCTTCGGATTTCCCAGCGTGGCAGCAGAGCTTCTGGAGGTCAGTGAACAGATCCAATACTAACCCAGGGTTTAGTTTGGGGCTGTTTCACACTATTGACCAAGGGTCAAATATCGGGTCTTTGAACAACTCCTTTATTTTTTGAGTAATCCGAAAATCAGTTTTTTTCCCAAATGCGTAGCAAAGGTTCCCGTTTCACTCTGGCGGTCTGGGGGCTGAGGGTGTGTTCGCTCGACGTTGCGTTTGCGTTCGCAACCGTCCGCGGGCGGTCGCGTGAGGGCCGTATGGCCGTGCCTATGGGTGAGTTCTGCAAAAGTGGTTACTTTTGGAGGTTCCACATGTCGCGTAGCTTCGTTTCGCGTGGTAGGCGTGGCACTTTGTGACATTCCAACATGTTTCACAAGGTGTCGAAGTTCATTTTTTTGGTGTGGCAGGCGCCATACTTTTGCATCGTTTTCTGAAGATGAGTTGCAGTTTTCGTGGCAGCGCAGCACTTTGGAGACCTCCGTCGTCATGTCGCGTGGCAAGCGCAGCACTTGAGACGTGTCGCGCTGCGTGTTTTGTGCGAATACTAATGTCAGGGCTGCGTCAAGTGGTGACGATGTGCAAAAACCGTGGCAGGCGTGGCATGTTGTGACATGTGATTACACTCCACACTTCACATTCTACTCTCTACACTCCACACTTTACATTCTATACAATCTACACACTACACTCCATTCACTACACTCCACCCTCCACACTCCATACTTTACACTTTACACTCCACACTTTACACTTTACATTCCACACTTTACACTTGACACTTTACACTCCACACTCTACACACGACACTCCCCACTTTACACTTTACACTCCACACTTTTCACTCCTCATTTCACACTTTACACTTTACACTCCACACTCCACACTCCACACTTTACACTCCACACTCTACACTTTACACTCCACACTCTACACTTTACACTTTACACGCCACACTTTACACTTTTCACTCCACACTGCACACTTTACACTTTACACTCCACACTCCGCACTTTACACTTTACACTTTTCACTCCACACTCTGCACTCTGCACTCTACACTCTACACTTACACTTTACACTCCACACTTTACACTCCACACTCTACACTCCACACTCTACACTCCACACTCTACACTCCACACTCCGCACTCCACACTCCACACTTTACACTTAAACTCCACACTTTCCATTCCACACTTTACACTTTACACTCCACACTTTACACTCCTCATTCCACACTTTACACTTTACACTTTACACTCCACACTTTACACTCCACACTCTACAATCTACACTTTACACTCCACACTCTACACTCTACACTTTACACTTTACACGCCACACTTTACACTTTTCACTCCACATTCCACACTTTACACTCCACACTCTACACTTTACACTCCACACTCTACACTTCACACTCTACACCCCACACTCTACACTCCACAGTCTACACTCCCCACTCCGCACTCTACACTTTACACTCCGCACTTTGCACTCTACACTTTACACTTTACACTCCACACTCTACATTCTACACTTTACACTCCACAATCTACACTCTACACTCTACACTTTACACTCCACACTTTACACTCTACACTTCACACTCCACTCTTTACACTTTTCACTCCACACTGCACTCTTTACACTCCACACTTTACACTTATCACTCCACACTCTGCACTCTACACTTTACACCCCACACTTTACTCTCCACACTTTACACTCTATACTTTACACTCTATACTTTACATTCCACACTCTACACTCCACCCTCTACACTCCACACTTTACACTCCACACTTTACAATCTACACTTTACACTTCACACTCTACACTCCACACTCTACACTCCACACTCCACACTTTACACTCCACACTCCACACTTTACATCCCACACTTTACACCCCATACTTTACACTTCACATTTACACTCCACACTTTACACGCTACACTTTACACTCCACACTCCACACTTTACACTTTACACTCCACACTTTACACTCTACACTTTGCACTCTACACTTTACACTCCACACTTTGCACTCCACACTTTACACTCCACACTCACAGTTTACACTCCACAGTTTACTCTCCACACTTTACACTTTACACTCCACACTTTACACTTTACACTTTTCACTCCACATTCCACACTTTACACTCCAGACTCCCCACTTTACACTTTAGAGTCCACACTTTAGACTCCACACTTTACACTCCACATTCCACACTTTACACTTTACCCTCCACACTTTACACTCCACACTCCACACTCCACAGTTTGCACTCCACACTTTACACTCCACACTCTACACTTTACTCTCCACACTCCACACTTTGCAGCCCACCCTCTTTCGCATTCCACAGTCTACAGTGCACTGGTACGGTAACAGGGGAAAAATGTACAAGACTGTTCAAATAATTTGTTTCTTAAAAGTGTTCTACGTGAATGCATTCGGGTTCGTGGGCTGCATCTTGTTTTATTGTTCGCGACCCAGAAGTACCAAATTCTGGGGTTGTTTTAGGCTTCTAGAGTACCGAATTCAAATTTTATGCTACTTATGACTCGTGCCGTTTTGCGGCATCCTCCATTTTCAGACACGCTGTGGGTTTTGTTCGTCTCCAATTTCCCGCCCTTACGCTCGCAATAGCAAAACATGGAGAGCAGAGTTTTCAAATTTCGAGTGAAAACTCTTCGAGCACGCGGCTAAACTATATATGTCTCAAAACCATGGGCCCCACAAACTGACCCTTAGCTGGTATTAGAACAAAAATGTCACCTGGATTGGTAGTGGTTTGGTTGACATGTCCCTGAATCAGCCCCAAGGGAATTCGTGAACATTCGTGAAGCTGTGTGAGGGAAATCACTAGGCCATTGCATACCCAGGAAATTTGACCATCATCCCCCGGACCTGCCATGCCATTTGGTCAAAATATTGCTCAATCATCGCCAATTGGGAACAACCCATTCTTTTGTAGGCCATGAAATAATTTGTTTCAGCACTTTCCCTAAGTTTTCCTCCCAGGGTTTATGAAACCAGGGTTTGACCTTACCTGATTGACTTTCCGCTTTCCAAGAGGACCTCTAATGGCCAGTAGAAAGAGTTGTAGCAGTTGGGCCCCCAGATGCCCTAGGATATAGACAGGTCATGTTGCAAACCCAATAATAAACCATCCCAGAAACCATTTCAAATCATCACACATAGAAATATGTATACCAAATAAAACCCAATGCCATAGTCGCCATCCTCAATTTTGGGTTTACAATTATAGTAAGCAACAAATTGAGGATGGTGACTATGGCTTTCGGTCAACACCTCTAACTTCAATTAGTAGGGGTCCATCATTGACCCAAGCACCACAGGTCTGGGCTGAGCCCTATGATGCAGACGAGCAACTTCCAGGAGAGACATCTGGGGTTCGATGCCGAAGCCCACGGGTGGCTATGGGGCAAAATTTTGAGCCATGTACTTCACTTTGTTGAACATATCGTTTAGCATCCATCCATTTCTGGGGTACTCCATCCAGGAAGACTTGTTTTCTAAAATGGGGTGATTCTCACCTTGAGTTCACCCAGTTGTAAATTGCTATTTCTTGGTATTTTCAGATTTGAGATGTTATGGAACATCCCAAAAACTCAAAGTGGAACCCTGTAGAAGATGGTCTTGCTTATTTTCCCGCCTGAAAACTCACATGGAACCTGCCAAAATCTGGTCGGAAGATATTTCTCGTACAGGAGATGGCATTGGTAGGTCTTGTTGTGAATCAATATTGACAGTGATACATCTGGCCACAAAATTCACTATGATATATGAGACTTTGGAGACTACTATTCTGTAGCCCGCCAAAATAGGGGTCACACAGAGTCCATATTGAACAAGAACCTGCCTGGCCTGTGAAGACATAGACGTGTGACCCACAGATCTACCACAAAACCCTGAGGGACTTGGCTATAGATACCTTCATCAACTCTTGAGGTGGAGTCATGTGCTGTATTCCCTGGGTGAACAGAGTAATGCTACTGTAACTTAGTGAGTTTGCTTTTTGCCATCAATTCTTGGGGTGGAGGATAACCAACTCAAAATCAGTATTTTTCTAGGACATCCAAGATTAGCACGTTCATCCATGATGCCCTAGCACGTGTAGGGCCTCAGAACTGATTCCCAGATATTTCTCCAAAGACAACGATGAAAGAGCATGTAACCCCCGAAAATCATTCTGTGGAGGTGCTGGCGACCACAGATCTGGTGTTGGAAGAGCTCGAGCACTGGAAATCACTGTTAGCGGCGCATAAAACTTCGTCACATGGATATCAGGAAATGTTGCAGTTTGGCTCAAGATCCAATTGCAGGGACTGCTGGTAGTGTAGTGTTTCGTTTACAGATGCTTCGGGTCAGTGTAGCGTTACCAAGCGGTCAAGGTGAGACATTTTCGCTTGAACGGTCCTCCAAAGTAGGGGACTTGAAGGTTTTGGCACAGAAATCATTCAAATGTGGCTTCTTGAGGCTTGTGGCTGCAGACCATAGCATGGTGGATCCTACAGTGTCTTTGCAGGATGCAGGACTTGAAGATGGAGACCACCTGACAGCTATTGCCCTAGAGGCAAAGGTAGCCGCAACAGACCGAGCTTTCGCATTGTTTTGCCCTGGAGGTGGCAAGGTTGTGACTTGGGGCGATCCCAATTATTGTGGTGACAGCTCTGAAGTCCAAGATCGGCTCAAGGATGTCCAGCAGGTTCAAGCAACTCTTAGTGGAGCATTTGCTGCAATCCTGGCAGATGGGTCGGTCGTGACTTGGGGCGATCCAAATCGTGGTGGTGACAGCTCTGAAGTCCAAGATCAGCTGAAAGGTGTCCAGCAGGTTCAAGCAACTTCATCCGCATTTGCGGCGATCCTGGCAGATGGATCGGTTGTGACCTGGGGCAATCCACATTATGGTGGTGACAGCTCTGAAGTCCAAGATCGGCTCAAGGATGTCCAGCAGGCTCAAGCAACCTATGGTGCATTTGCTGCAATCCTGGCAGATGGGT